TCGCTGACCAAGTACAGTGGCATTTCATGAGTATTTGCACCCCAATACTTCCATTGTTGACCGCCCTGGCTATACCGCCTTTCGATTACTACTGGTATAGACCCCACTCGCATAGCAGGATTAGATGTGAGTGGATGCAAAATTCTTCCGGCAGAAAATAGAAGTACCCGGGTGCAAATACTCATGAAATATGACTGTACATACCGCACTAAATCCACCTTGCCAAATTCAGATGCTCTGTATAAGACTGTTCCAAGGCTCATGAAATATTATAACCCCCAGGAGAAAGAATGATCCTGGTACTTTGTTGCATTGATAGCTGTACCTTTTCCGATGAGCGGCTTGCCCATTTCGATATTCTCTGACTGTCGATCGCATGATGGAGAAGCTAGCCTTTCTAGACATCGCCTCGGCGATTGAGCATAAGTCTAACGATAGAGATAGGGGCGCGTTTGACAGCATAAGAAAGTGGAGTTAGATCAATAGCACATTGTTGATTTGGATCTGCTCCGTGATCAAGCAGCCAAAATACCATATCCTTGTCTTCGATCACGTTACTAAAGTTTTCGTTACCTTCAGCGGCCATTTTATCTCCATTTATATCAGCGATAATATCAACCCGGTATCGTCTCGAAAACTCAGGCTTTCACAATTGGATTAGTATGCATAGCTTTTTCTCTACTTTATCTCCATTGATGTTGGTGTCTTGGAGGTCAATTAAGTCTAGTTCTTTCCAACTCTTGCACTACGAAACGTCAGGCTTGGGATTCTTTGGACCGAATTTCATCGAACGTACTAGTAATTCTGCCCGGTCAGACTCCGTCATATTTGAGAGGAGATCTCGAAGTCTCAGAACGCGAAGGGGAAGATAAGGAATGAGAGCGTTGCAACCGGGATTCCCTTTGAATCAATGTTTTGGTATAAGATGTGATGGACTGCTGTAGGAGCGTAGGGAGCAGTTGAAAGGGAATAAATGCCAAAACACAGATATGTTCGATATAATTTGAATTATTGCGGAGCGAAGCGAAGCAATTATAATATCATGTGTCCAGCATGGTGGGGTTGATAAACTAGGGTCAGGCCGCAAAAGACCCCCTTTTTTACACCAGCTGCATATGGTGGCGCACGTACTTGCATGTCACTTTGTATATTATTATTATTCAAGTCCTTTGGAAAGCGGAAATGGATGGCCCAAGGAATACATCGAGCATGAGTATGCTATAGAAACCAAAGGGGACACCATATCTTTCTCGACATAATCACGTGTGCGCTAAGCTGCTGCCCAGGTAGTCACGTGGTCATTCATCCAACTTTGATCGTGGATTCTTACCCAACGCCCAACTCTACCACCAAGATTTTCATATCTTCAAAACACTCATTTCGGCCAAACGATTTTTCATCATTCTGGCATTCCAATTACCATATATTTATCACAGTACCACATCTGGTTAGCTCGGTGAACTTCTCGATGGTGAGTCGCTAACAGTTAGTTAACCTGGTTTAGACCTCTTACTAATACACCCCCTAGGAGACCCAGTCTTTCAAAATAGAAGCTTTAGATAAAGAGCCAAATTTCTTCGACTCCGAGAACAATAAAGTGATAGTCATACGCTATACAGGAAGACCACAAAGTGTCTACTGGCAAAATAGTTGTATCTCAATTTCAAAAATCGACGATCAAGGTCAAACGAAAGGGGATCCAGAAAAGCTTAAGAATAGTTCTGGAAAATTTGATATGGTGCCAGGCGTGGTTCTGTATATCACTTCGGGGAAGGTCAAAGTCTTAGATACTTAACTGTATAACACTTTGCCAAGTCACATCCGCGCATGGGGTCAAGGAAAATCTCAATATTCGCACCCTCCTCCTTTATAGCCATCGACATTGCCAAGTTTTGATCTGTGCTGAAACCATTGGTAATAGCTGCGTATACTTGTGAAACGAAAATTTCTTTGACGGCATTTTTCTTTGCATCTCTTAAGGTGAATTCCATTAACGGTATGGTCAGGCTAGGGCCATCACCGACCATGATATGGTAAACTTGTGTTCCCCGCGTAATTGTGGTATTGAAAAGAGCCTTAGCAAGTTCAAATGCCCCTTTTGATATATTGATGATCAAGGTACAAGTGCCCTCATTCCATTGGGGAAATATCATAGTCACCGCCGCAGTTAGAATGCCCTTTCCATCGGCTCGGGATGATCCTTTTCTGATCATTTCACAGATTTGTTTGTCAAAAACAGCTTTGATCCCCTTCAATGAAGCAAAATCATATGTAAGGGCAGGGTTGCAACGCAATACTGGGCCGTCTATCTCATTTCCCATCTTATTCAGAAACAATGACCATTCTTTGCGATTCATGTCAACCACAAGTGACTGTTTGAGAGCTTTGCAGACCAGGCGCTCAGCATTGTCACTGTTCGGGTCACATCGTTGGCGAACTTCCAAGAGGCGGGTTTCAAAAATTCGTCTTTTTGTTTCGGTACGCTTAGAAGTAGCTGGTTTGAAGGATATTGAACGATTGCCTCGCATAGGCAGACTTATTCCGTTACTCGCTTTCTTGATCTTTTCCCATGCTTCATTATGAGAGATCGCTCTTCGACGAGGTGGCGCCATGATAGAGGGGGATAAGGGAAATGAAATGATGAGGGAAACGATGGAGGAAATAGTGGGGACTGCCCAGGTGTTAAGAATGGATGACATAATACAAGGGGCGGGTACGCGTATCTCACATGACACTACTCCGTAATTTCAGGATATACATATTCTTGATTTAACATTTCTACAACCATCTTCAAACCTCAGTGCCGGCTTTTGAGCAAGAACGCCTATTATGGAGGAAGAGGATACTTGGACGACTCTGTTTTTCTCTGGGAGCCGTCCGGATATTCTGAAAACGAGCGAACTTGATGGCAAAAGCTTCCGACCTTTCTGTCCCGAAGACGACAACTGGAAGCTTGGACCCCGAGCCGACGTATCAAGATCACCGGATGCGAACGCTATACAGGTATTTTGGCTTCGGATCAAAGAACGCAGAAAATACATAGGCAAAGTCGTAAGTGGAGACAATACCTCTACGCGTGCTCCGTATTAATCATATAACTAGCAGTTCCCTTGCTATTCTAAGCAAGATGCCAAGATACAGCTTGGACGTATCAGAATATGGCCAACTCCGGAAAGGATAGACGATGCTGTGTACGAATTCGATAGATTTTATCGGGAGGCTCGGGCATATAACCACATTGACCTATTCTGTTCCGCCCACGAAAGAATATATTTCCCACAATTCCATGGGGTGGTTACTAATATGCCAAAATCTCGATTCTCCTTTGGATATTACCACGAGCGAGCGGTTATACTAGAGGCAATAAGACCGGAATTGTGCTCTCGACGTGTCCTTAGTGAAGATATCGACCAACTATCTGAAAGCTTCGCGACGATCCTTAAACCGCTAGCCGAAAAGCTTTGGACTACTCCTGAGATGATGTCTCTAAGTCCATTTGAACAGGAGTGGTATTATTCTTTACTGAAAGACCGACTTCGTCGCCTAGATGCTCTGCATCGGATTGGGATAACCCATGGAGATATCCATGATTTACATTTTCGACTTCCCGGTGACATTTACGACACAGTTCTATACGACTTCTCTGCGTCGTATACGTTCTCTGAAAGACAACCTTTTCGGGTAAATAACGGAAGACCTCGGCCTTTAAGTCGGATGTCAAATGGTGAACGTGAATGTGTCCTAGAGGATATCCAGGATCGGTAAGAAATAAGACTAGATATCTTATGCCATAACTAACAGTCGTTCAGAGCCGCCTCTCGAGATCTCCGTTCTTACCTTATAGAATCAAATTCTGGAACTTCTATTGATGACGCACTCTGGCAGTCTCTCGATAAAGAGGAGGAATTGTTAGAGTTAATCATGCTGAAAATCCCCCATCGCCCAGATGGTCAGTTGTTATTGATCCCTTCCCACATTTTATATATTGATGACTAACTGTTCCAGGCTTTTCGATGCCGACCTTGAATTCCATTTTCCCTTTTCTGGAAGCCGTGTGCCCAAAACCTGACCTCTGCTGGCATATTCGTCGAGGTAGGCTTTTATGCCACTATGAGTCAGTTTGGGCAGTCTTTCGCGACGATGAAACCACTTTTGATTGTGAACCGCAATTTGGAACAATCGAGACAATGAAGGACTCTCGCTTTATGCTTTGTTTAGTACCGAATTCGTGGATTGTGTCATTGAAGACGAAACCCGATTTCGCCGGGCTTTGTAAGCTACGGAAATTTTGCTCACAACTTGTTTCAGCGAAAACCCCCGGGGCAATTTTGGAACGAGGCGAACTTTTTTGAAAGAAGTGGAGAGTACGGAGGATGAGAAATCATGGATAATAGAAACTCATGTCATTTTTTGTCACGTGACGTCAAGGAGACAGAAAGTCCCAGATCCTTTTCGGCGGTAAGAGGGTATCATATAAATTCAGTCCAACTTAGTCTCGAAGGAAGATGTAACAACATGAACTTTTCTGTGGGATTGGTCATCCCATTTAATCGCGAGTGAGCCAAGCCTTTGGCCCGGTCTCATCCTCGTATTTCACCATATATCCACCTCAGTAGCGTTGCATCAATTGCTTTGACAAATGTCTAGACTCGGTCGAGCATCTCCAATGGGAAAATTCATATGAGAGTCAGGACCATGAAACTATAGTAGCTAATAAAATAAGATTGCAGGTCAGTAATAAGAGTCAGATTTTAAGTATAAAATATCGGTGACTCGGTGAAGTATGAATAATAACATCAAGTGAATGCGAGACCTACGAGATATACTTTTGATGAGAATGAGCAATTTGATTATTAAACATCAGAAACTTTGCATCGAGCCTAGACTTCTTTGAATCATATGTAGCTGAGTTCTATATAACGTGTTGAAGGAGGAAGCCACAATGATTGGACCTGTCTCATCATTCTATGTTGAATAGTAGAATAGATCTTGCAGCAAGATTAACGGGATTTGGTTGAGCGCGCATACGGCGGAGCTCCCTGAAGTTTGTAGATCTCGTCTCCGATCTCCTTCCAATTGGATGTTGTGTCATTGTGGACCCATTTGTTGTTATTGTCTTTGTATGAGTAACCAGTGCGAGCTGCGTTCCATACTACGATAGTATCGTAGCATTGGGCTGCCATTTCGTTGCTCGTTTATGGTGTGCTAGCGACAGTGCTCGCTGTTGGTATAGGGCTTCGCGACTGTGAAGTCGGTGACAGGGTGGTTGATGGGACGCGATGAGTAACAGATGACTCAACTGTAGATGCCAAACTGGGGTATTCGGTTCTGAGATCATACCCATCCTCGGCGGCTAAACGAACAAGGAAATAAATTGCCAATTTGATCGTAAGGCCGCTTGTAGCGCTCCAAGGAATTTTCTTGTATTCCAACCACCCAATTCGAGGTTTGAAGAAAGTCTCGTCAATAGACATGTCGGTTAATTGCCTCGAGATTGTGGAAGAAGATATTACCCGTTGATGTAAGGGTAATAATGGGCGAGTGCGTTGCGGTCTGGGTGATGTTCGAATTGGTTCTGGTGCCAAATGGAGTCGCATTACCACGAGATCCTGATCGCTAATAATATACACATACCGACATCCATAAACAGAGCCATAATGTTGGACTTGTTCGAGGGGTCTGACCATATCGCCAGCTCGTGCATTTTCATATGAATCGTGTTCCATATTCTGGATAACATTAATGGCATTGACTGATGACCAGTTGAATTTTGTATCGCCAAGAACAAGAGCTTTAGCCCTTCCATCCGGATCGGTACTCTCAGGTGCATCCTTCCCAGCGCCCCAGTCAGGGAGGCATCCTTCCTTCTGCATGACTCTTGCGCCGGACGTAATGAAGAAAGGATGAAGTACTGACGATACAGGACCTGTAATTGACATGCATATGAGATCGGAGAGGCCACGTTCGTCAAATATTTTGTTGTAGCCTCCTTCTTCACAATTCTTGCTAGTATCAAAGGAAGAAACATGACGGTTCAAATCATTTCTGAACCGCAGTTGGAGGGTATCGTAGTTGAAATCGGTCCATTCTCTCATCTCCTCAACTGGCTCCCATTCTAAATTAAAGGTGAAGGTCGTTGCTGGTTTGGCAAAAGCTAAGATGGTTGGGTTGCGTGTCGACAGGTAGCTAAGAAGAGTTTGGGTCATATCGAGAGATTTCTTTGGAAGATTGTGAAAAGTAATTCTAGTATCAGAGATATTGCTCGCGGCGAAGTAGGCTATTTATGTATTTATGTATTGGTATTTGGCTAGGTCTAATGATAAAAGTAGGTATTCACTAAGTGGAGACTACGCGAGTTCTCATATTATTTAATAGCCAGTAATAACGTTCAGAGATGGTAAGAAAGAGTATAAGATGGGGTGCAAGAAAAATATGTAGGGAAACGCTGGAGGGAAACGAAACGACGGAGGGAAATGAGGGAAATGATGGAGGGAAATGATGGAGGGAAATGATGGAGGGAAATGATGGAGGGAAATGATGGAGGGAAATGATGGAGGCATATGTCTAGTTCTGAAATGATCAATCATTTCACACTTCTCGTCCGTCACCTCATAGTAAACTATCCGGTATAGTACTTCTTATGGGCCAGCTAGATGGTGACCTGTGCTCATGACCACTGGATCTTGGATCTTGGCCCTTGTCACTTATGCCAACGCCTTTCTACGATGTCCATTTAATGTGAGCTTTACGACAGCGGGCAGGCATCTATAGCATATATGATTGGTACTTGATCACTGGCTAACTTGGATGTGGACTCCTCCTATTGAGCCTGGATAGCCATGTATTAGAGGCTTTAACAGCCAGGTGGCCGGCCCACTATGTCTTTGGTACCAATCTTAATGCTTAATGTATATAGAGGCTATTATGCTATGTCCATTGGATATTTATGTGCAACGTGTAGGTTTTCATACGTTCTTTTATACAACATAGATATTGTCCGAAAATAGGTTATTCTTACGATATAACTGCACAAGACATACTTAAAGATAGGCCGAAGACTGCCTCGTAGAAATTAGGTCTAAAGCTGTCCTGCTTGATTCGTAAAATCCAATAGCTCGAAGGTGTGAGATCTAGCAAAGATGAATCTATATAGTAAGAGGGAAGAAAAGATGGGATACCTCGATCAAAATCTTGTGCACACAGGAGTTCATACATTCCCAATCTTCCAATTCTTCCCATTCGCTCACTCTAAAGCAGCCGCCGGGTAGCGAATATAGGGATCCTAATTTCAGTTCTATGAGTTAAATTCCCACAAACATGTGCTCGTATTTCTAGGGGTTCCGTGACTCGGGCTTTCTTTCAAACCAATTTGCATTTCGCTAATGCACTTCTTCCCTGCTACATCTTGGAATACGGAAGCACTTCCAACACACTTTCTCTGTACAGAGTTTATCGCCTATCCCTCCGTGCAAATACCCTCGGATTCCAACTCGAGACTAATCTTGCGCCAATAACTAGAGTGGAGATAAGATAGGCTATCAGTCATGTGATTTGGGTGGGCCACCGGTTAGGTAAAAAAATGGCACACAGGTTGGATGAACTGTCGTCTCGGGGTTGGGTGGGTTGTCATAGCCAAAGGGGGGGGGTCTATTTATATTATAGACTCGGCATTGTTATTAGGATTTAGAAAGTGAAGTCTTTGACCACTTTCTTGTGTGGTATTGCTGAAGAAGATATTGGCAAATGACTCGGTGAACCACCTGCGCTGTCAGTAACACCACAATTCTGATCCTGATCCTTGAGCTTCAGTAGCTGCTCTTTCTTTTCCTTCAGAGATTTCCAGAGTTTGTGCTGCTTTCCTAGTCCTTCTCCGCCGAAGTTGCTAACAATTTGGATTACATCCTCACACATATTCAGGGCATCTTCGATCTTTCCTTGATCCTCATAGCAGTGGACTAAAAACCACATGGCTTGAACTAGATATAAAATATTGTCAGTAAAGACCGCTTTTCAGCCCACCTGGGCAGGAAATGTTGAGTTGCCAGAAAAGAATACCACTTACCCCGATCCCCATGTCCCCCGTCTGCACGTTTTGTCTGTTCAAATCTTTGCTTTGCAATTATATCTTCCCAAATGACCTGCGCCTCAGAATACCGTTCCTGACGCCAGTAAAGATGTCCAAGCCAGGTGCGAGCTGTGAGAGTCCCCAGGTGGTTCTCACCCAGATTTCTTTTAGCGATGGGCAAACCTTCGAGAAATATCTGTTCGGCCTCCTCAAACTGATTCATGGCAGTCTTAACCTTTGCGACGGTCAACTTGGATTTGAGTGTAAGAGGGTGTTCATGTCCCAGTGTCTCTCTGCGAATCTGCGTAACCTCTTCACTCATCTGGAGAGCAAGTGGGAGATTTTCCTCGCCCATAAATCCGTAGATAGCCGCAAGATTGTCCTTGGCCTCCAAGGTTTTCTCGTGCGTAGGACCTAGGACCTTTTTCATCCCCTCGTATGCTTGCATTTGCAGCTTAACCGCCTCTTCATGCTCAAAGTAGCGAAGCTTGACCTTGGAAAGATTATCCAGAGCGGTCCATGTATCCTCGTGCTCCGGGCCGAACCCTTCCAACTTCCGCAGACTTTCGATCACTTCTTGGTGCAGACGATACGCCTCTCGGTACCTACTGCCTAGGAGACATGTGGCACCAAGGGTATCCATGATCTGTAAAGTTGTCGGATGAGTTGGACCATATAGCTTTTTGGCAGACTCCAGGACCTGATATTGTAGCTCTCTGGCCTCGTTGTTCCGTGTCTGCCAAACATAGTTCTTAGACAGTAGAAAAGCAATAGCTATGCTATACTCGGACTCAGGGCCTAGCTTTGCGAATAAATAGTACTTTACTTGAAGCTGAAGCTCTTCTGCCTTGGACCAGTACCCGCAATGAAGGTAAACAAAACTGGATTTCGCATATTCAGTCGCCTGGAGCCTCCCAAAGCCTGGCTGAGGTGCTAGAAACCTCAATGGCCAGAGCCAATGAGGAGCCTTCTGGTTTTGTTCAAACCGCTTCTTGATATCTGCCTGTAATCTTCGCACATTCTCCACATGTGGATAAATTTGCCTCTTTGACTTCTCATCCTGCGCCACATATGCGCGTGGAGGTTGGAAAAAGATGGACTGTGCCAATATTGTCGCTGCTGCTTGACACCAAACGGCTTGCTCTGCCGTACTGGTTTCAGGTCTCTGTCGTACCCAGGTATGGACCAATGGATGCATCCAATAGCTATTGTTGTCATCATGAAGTGTCAGCATGCCAAGACGAACCAAAAGAGATAGGGCGCTGCGTAACCGGTCTTCATCAAATGGGTCGTCGTCCTCATCACGCAGGACAGCAGGCAGGATGACACATGGTCTCGTAAGCGGTTCTATCACTGTAGCGGCCCAGTCATGAAATAATTTCGTCCATGTCTTGGGTCTTGGATGAACTGGTACTGGCTTTGCCACACGTTCCTTCGCTCGTGCATCTTCTCGTTCCCGCCGAGGGTTCGAAGCCGCATTTGTTAAGATATCAAACTCGATGTTCTCCCAATAGAAGAATGAGAAAGTCTTCAACAGTTCAATGGCATCCCTGGATTGGTCGTTGTTTTTGTTTTCGAGACCAAGATATATCATCTCATATGAAGAATACACACTCATGTTCAACGCATGATTATCCTCGTGGCCATGAGAAGATCTCCGAGTTCGAGCATGCCGGATTTTATTCCATGTTCGTTCGTAGTACTCAGGATAGTCACTCAGAGAACACAGCTTTTCCAAGATGGCCTTTCCGGCGTGAATGAGCGCAAGAGGCAAATACCCTAAGATTTGCGCGGCTCGATCGGCGTAGGATCTTGTCGGTACTCCCCAAGGACGCGGGGAAGCGGCAGCCGCCAAAAGGAGGTCACTAGCTTCTTCGGCCTCTAACTTATCGAAATGAAAGAAGCGGGCACCATCCGTTTCATATCCTTTGTTCGTAGGGTTGCGAGTGGTGATGAGAATCACGCCTCTTTCCCCTCCCGGAAAGTAGCGCATCACGTCGACTTCAGGGTCATCGGCATTGTCGATGAGAAGTAGCCAAGGTTGCTGTAAGCTAGAAAGCCAGTTCTTGGCCGCGTTCTCGTTGGGTTCGACGCCGCCAAGTTTGGCAATTCCGGCGAATGAGTGTTTCGCGTTTTCGCACGAACTCCCGTCGATCCAAAAGACACCCCAGAAACTATGTAGACATTATCATTAGAATTGCCTCATATAATTGGTAGGGAGACTCACTGTTCTCTGTTGTCCTGAGCAAATTTGCAACAGAATTGTGTTTTCCCAGAACCCCCAAGACCATAAATGACGAAGCGCTTTTGGTGGTCTTGGGGTTCGCGAGAATTGACGATATCGAGCATGGATTGAAGCGCCGTTAATTGCTTCTGTCGGCCCGTGTAATAACTGCCGACGGTTTGAGGCATGTCGAAATGCTTGTTGAATTTGATGAGTGATGCCACCGCGTCTGCGGAAACGAGGGAGTCGTGGAGCTTGCAAAAGTAAGCTTTGATACCACATTGACGGTTGTTGAATAACTCACGTTCTCTGGGTCAGTTGAGCCTTGGAGAATTCGGCGAAGGTTTTTTATTCTTATTGCGAGCTTATTGTTTTGGTGCTGCAAGTTCTCCGGTAGCGTATCCACAGCACGATCCACTGCTGTATGCGACTTGAGCGTGTAGGAGCTGCGTTGGGTCAGTTATTTCTCATATACATAACCATTTCTTAAACACACAGGTTAAGCGCACTCAACAACATCTGGATGCCAGCTTGGTTATTGGCGAGGCGCTGGCGTATTTGCATGTATTCGCCGTCTCGATCCTGTCTTCGGATCGTCTTTCTCAAGCCGTCGAGCTTGCCCCCTACCAGGGTGTGTTTCTTGCCGATGACCTCTTTGAGCAATCTCTCGAGCTGCTCAATGGTTCCCTTGCTTTGCTGCAAGAGCGATGCCAAGTTCTTCCAAATATTGCTAGCATGTGATCCATCGTTGGCTGGCACGTCAAAGCCCTTCAAGTCATGCCGTGAATGCCAAAAGTCCTCGACTGAGTCATTTACCGCAACGAGAGCTTCGATTTCTTGCCCCAGGATAGTGATTTCATTTTGGATTTTCGTGGTTGCGCTTTTAAGAGAGCCGAGATAAGAGATGAGACGAATAGAGACGTCTGCCAGACCGACAGTTCCAATTATAATAGAGAAAGGATCCATGATATTGGAAGTAGAAATTGCAGTCAGGCAATTATAAAGAAATAGAATGAAGGCGGATTTGAAGCATTCCGATGAGGGCTGTTGATGTGGAAATGAGAGGCCTCCCTATGTGGTGTCTCGTCTTAAACATCCACATTAAAATGGTATTAGCGACGCTAGTCTTAGTTGATGAACTGAGATAATCTACAGACCAATGAAACATATATGACAGCAGATTACCGAGCTGAATACCAAGATTTCTAACTGCAATATCATTGTGGTCTGTAACTCTGCTTGAGGCCTAGAGTTACTTTATGGTCCACTATAGGTAGAAACTTGCGGCTGAATCCTCGACCACAGTCAAATCCATAATTGTTCTGTGCTCATGGTAATTATTTGCTCCATGGATTTTAGTGAACGCCTTTCTGACGGATGCGAACGGCCCAAAGCGCTAGAGTGAACTAGATATGCAGTCCACTTTTGAATACCCAAGTAATATCTGCTGACACCCCTGATCTACCTGCGTCTCACTTCCAACTTGTCATATATTATTCCCCTGATTCCATATATTCCATATTAGAGATTAGCTTTTCTAGTTAGCATACAACATACATAATTTCTGCCGTGGTGCGGAGGGACAAGACGAAAGAGAACATCCACCAGACAAGCGGTCTTGCCAATGATGGAGAAAAGGTATTTCGAACCCGAGATTTACACGGCCAATGATGAGACAAGAAAATACGAAAGTGGCGCTCTAACCCTGGAAATATGAGTACAAAGTACGGAGTAACACTTCACAGAATAAAAATGGCTCAGGCTGCGGTTAGCTACATACACTCCAACATAGTATTCGTCAGATTTCTGCCAAGGGAAACTGCCTCTCACCTATCATATCCAACAACCTTCCAACCTTGAGGCTGCCTATGTTGTAGGTACAACTTCCAAGGTTTACTCTAGCGAAAACATTGTAAAGATTTTGCCCCAACCAGATTCCCAAAATACAAATGGGGCGTGGAATATTATATTCGGGCCCGTCTACCCCGTTGTCCAGAATGTATTTCTACAGCCTCCTAACTCGAAATCAAATAGCTCAATCAGTGAGCCAGCAGTAAGGGGCTCAGGCTTAAGCCTCACGACAGTTGATTCTGGTCAATTCATCCTCTCCCAGACAAAAACATCTAACTAACTATACTCCGTATTGTATATCATAAGAGCCCTTCGCTTCCAAACAAAGAAAGCGGCCGGGTACCCACTTCCGCATCCTCAACCAATGAGAGAGCTGTATTGACGTGCTTTATGGTAAGGCGCGAGCCGTGCGCCAGCTTAACCGCTTTACTTCCCAGACCCCGACTTCTGTAATGACTTCTTTTTTCAATTCAATCTCTAATCCATTACTTCAGTCGTTACCCTCAGCGTGAACCTACTGCAAGCCAGAGCTCTCACCCAAGCAACACAATGGCGATAAACTTATGGGGTGCTTCTTTTATATTGATAGTTTTCAACTACATGCTGTATCGTGGTCTACAAAGCTGGCGCAGATATGTCGTGAGTTTCTTTGTTTGGTGTCCTGTCCAAATAATTGACACCATTAGCATGACAAAGCATTCGGTGATAAGCATGGCTGTTTACCGATGGAGACATGGATCCCTTACAAATGGCCATTAGCACTCGACATCCTCAAACGGCAATATGATGCATTGCCAGAACAGCGACTACTATTATTCCAATCCCAGTACTTTGACAAGATTGGACCTAACATGACATTCAAACTATTTGGAAATCAAGGCTATCTCACTGCGGACCTAAAGAACGTGGAATCCATACTCTCAACTAATTTCGAAGGTATTTACCCAATCTTCATATCTGCAAGGTCTTGTCTTACACCCAAAAGATTGGTGTCTTGGTTCCCGGCGACCCGGTCTTATGCCTATGCTAGGCGAAGGCATTTTCACCCAAGATGGTCGTCCATGGAAGCATTCGAGGGAGTTGCTCCGCCGCCAATTTGTACGAATTCACCGGCAAGATTCCAAAATTTTCGATGAACACGTCGAGAACTTGATTTCCAATCTCCGCTCTGCAACTGGGGTGGTAGATCTGCAACCTCATCTTTTCCGCTTTACTCTAGCGACGACAACCGCGCTTATCTTCGGAGAACCGGTCTTTGCCTTGCCAGGAGCAGAGACAGATACTTTTGAGAAGGCCTTTGACTATGCCAGCTACATCAGTGCGATCAGGCTCCGTCTTGCTGACCTAGAATGGATATGGAAACCTGCTGAATTCAGGGCAGCTTGTGCTGTCGTCAAAAAATATGCGTCTCACTTCGTGCAGCTTGCACTCGATGATATGAAAGAAAATGGAGAGGAAGCAGCATCGGAGAGGCACGCGTTTATTATCGACCTTTACAAGGAGATGCAGGACCCAGTTCTTGTGCGAGATCAATTGGTCCATGTACTTATCGCTGGAAGGGACACGACAGCATGTCTAATGTCATGGGCATTTTTCCTTCTCGTACGACACCCCGAAGCTCTCGCAAAACTTCGCAGTGAGATCCAACTCGTTACCGGAGGATTGCGTGAATTGGGCCGGGCAAAAATCAGCAAGATGCAGTATCTCCGATGTGTGATCAATGAAAGTGAGTCTACCAGCAATCCAATCTCTAATTGAGATATATGCTAACTGCAACTTTGCATCTAGCTCAACGACTATACCCGCAACTTCCAGTGAATGTCCGCGTAGCCGCTAAAACGACATTCCTCCCGAGCGGAGGAGGCCCCGATGGCAAATCCCCGGTACTAATACCCAAAAACACAGGTGTTGCCTATTCGGTCTACCACATGCACCGACTGAAGAGCGTTTACGGTGAAGACGTGAACAGTTTCCGTCCCGAAAGATGGCTGGGTCCAGAGCTAGATGGTGTTGGCTGGGGGTTCATGCCTTTCCACGGAGGGCCAAGGATATGTCTAGGCAGTAAGTGATTTAGGTTATGAGAGCAGTACGTAGAGCTTACGCTGACTGAATTGGCAGAGGAATTTGCTCTGACGGAAGCGTCGCATGCAATCATACGAATCATTCAGACATTTCCCGAGCTTAGGTTACCACCTGATACACCTAGCGTTCCACCTGGTGAGGAAAAGCAAGCTTTGACGATTGTGGTTATGAGTGCGGAAGGATGTAAGGTTTTGTTGGACTGAAACATGTACATTAGACGATAAGTTCAATCTTGAATTGTCTCAGGCATGTCCTCGTAAAACATAGATCATAGAGGGCACGAAAGACATGAAAAGCAGACATCCGAGCAAATGCAACGGTGGCGGGTAGTCGAATAGTTTAGTTGGATGCGTCTTAAATGAAGACTACGAGGAAGAAATTCATAGCATCTCAGTATCCTGGAACAATTAAGCCTAATAGTAAGCGTGATATAGCCTGAAATACTCCGTAGTCATTCGCTAGTCTCACCCCGGATTAAACTGCGACATATCCTCCTCCAAAAGCCCCATCATGTACTGATTCCCCCAGAACCAATTCCCCAATTGCGCAGCAGTCCCCGAATCCTGTCCCTGCACTTGAGATGGATCGAGCGCCGAGAAACCACCCCCGTTCTGCTCGGATAATTCCGCCGAGCTGACATGCATACCGGGATTATCTGTCTGGAAATATCCCTGAGAGTTTCCCATCTGGAAGGTACCACTGTTTGGGGGATTCATAGGGTTTGTAGGCGCTAGTCCGAGAGCACTGAGGTACACATCGAATTCCTGACCGACCTCAATGAGATTTTGGTCTTGGTCTGCCGCTGTCTGGGTCCGCGTGTTAGCTTCGTAGTAAAGGCGGGCGACGGTGCCGAGCACTGAGCACAGAGTGTGTAATCGGTCGACGGATTGAGAGAAGGTGCTTAGCGGTTGGAGGGAGGCGATGAACTCTTCGAGTCGGGCGAGGTCGTCGCCGTTGGACGTTGTTATTATGTTGCAGAATATTACGATGAAGGGGACGAAGGGGGATAGGAGAATGCCCCTATATTGGTTTTGTGAGAGTTTGGTCTGAGAGTGTATAGCCATTGCAATGATAGCGCTGGTTGGGATCATGAATCATGAGTGCTTACCAGTGCATGTAGGAGATTTTCATGAAATCGTCTGTTTCGTTGAGCGCTGCAACGCACTGTCGGTGGATTTCCAGGGCTTCCCGGGCTGTCTCGATGCATTCTGGTATGAAGGTGGCAACAGATCCTGCATCTGTTGATGCTGGAATTGCTCGGTAGATCAAGGTCATGATAGCCAGCCGACTTACTTTGTCAGTTGCGAGGTACATGAGGTCGATCTCGGATATTTTAAGATCGGAGGCCATGAATTTCTACATGTTTCACGTTAGCAACTCGACTCAATCAAATCCACAGATAGCAGGAAGGTATACCTCAAACGGCTCCATGACCTTCGACTGCATCTCAGCGGCTAATCTGTGTGCATGTGTGACTCGTTCCCTTTCTGGCTTCTGCAGCGCCTCTGGGCTGTACAAATATTGGTAAACCTCACTTTGGATAATTGCCGACCTAGTCCACCATATACAGACGGGCCCCCATGGATAAGGGACATCTGCGCTCTCATCGAGCGGCGGTAGGCTAATGTCATAGTTCTGAATGGACGACGCACGTCCTAGACGCAGGGACATCATATTCAAAATTGTGTAGACAGACCAGAATAGATGTTGCTTTTGGCGTTGGACTGATATGGGATCGTGCTCCATTGAGGTAATGCGATGATACCCCAGTGTCTGGCACAGATTCATAGCTGTTGATGCTAACGTCCAGGCAACTGATGGCTTAGAAATCTCGAGTGCATGCATAGCCTGTATTGGTAAGTAAGGAGTCTACATGGGTTATATCCAAAAAGGACAAAATGGAAAGGGTGACTAACGCCTAGAGCCAACGCCATGATCGATTCATGGCTTGCAGGCATCAGGATATTCAAATTGGCAAGCGCTGTCTCCAAGTTGTCGCGACACATCTCAATGCAGTGCCGGTGCTCTTCTCGCGAACTGGCGTCTCTCTCCATGCCGCCATATTCGTAGAGAGCGCTGTACAAACAAAAGTTGGTTACAACAAATGCCGCATCGGAGTAATCGTCTATGCAGAAGTAGACTTCACGGCATTTTTCAGTGAAATATTTCACACTGAGAAAGGGGACATAGCCACCAAAGAAGGCCGGTGGTGTTTCTAGATGAGTAAGAATAGGAAGCTGGAGACATGTATTTGGAAGAAACCGCACCTTGAACCTTTCTCAATATGTCTAGAACCAATGGTAGAGGCGGCATCTCTAGATCACGGATGTCGCGTTTCACACCTAACCTCGCATTCTTAGTAGGAAGTTGACTTCCCTGCGAGTCTGCCTCTCGCCGTTGGTTCTGGATGCCGACAAGCTGCTTCAGCGACGAGAGAGCCGCGCTGATCTTCGGACTGGACAAAACCTGCGGCGAGCTTTTGGACACGGCAGATTCAAGAAACGCGCTCGCGTAGGCCCCATGGGCAGTCAGCGATGAGCTACCCTCAAACCCAGAGCTGTGGTCGTGCTGCTCGATAGTAGGATTCGCTAGATACAAAGGGCCCTTAGGCTTTGCCAGGTTCGATGTAGTGAATGACGGCTGCGAAGGGGTTGACTTCTGAGGCGAAGGGGCGAAATGAGACTCGCGCGAGTTTAAACCTGTGGAGCCTTGTAGTTGAGATGTATTTTTTGCTAGCTGTTGAAGAGTACTTTCAATGCTTGCCAGGCGTTCCTCGATCAAATCGATCTTTTTCTCACTGTGGTCGAGTCAATGGTTGTCCTATGATAGGAGAAAATGCTCATACTATTGATTTGAGATTAGAACCCGCCGTCGGGGCTCTGATGGCTTCTGGCCTCTGCCAGTAGATCGGCATGCAATGCTGGAGCTGCGACAGTTGGAGCATGGCGTGCGCTTATCGCATCGGATCTGTGACGGCGTGAGATCGAGTCATGATATCGTGCCACTGGAGTTGTAGCTGCATACCTTTCGCAGACGGCATTGATCACACTGTATGCATCATTAATATTTGATTAGCCAAAGCCGTATCTTTCCTTTCTTTTTCTAAGCTTGCAACTGCTTAGTTGTGGAGCAACACCTACCGCACGTCGGACCAGCGCGCTTGGCACATCCTGTCCCTCATGATCGGATTCCTCGGGCTCCATGAATTTTAAGACACTGCGTACCTAGCCTTGAAGTGTAACATAGAAATTGCTAAAATTAGAGACGAATGAAGCTTCAAATTGCGAGCCCGGGCTTGGTTGCCTTGGCCACCGGTACGATCACGTGGTAGGACTTTTATTGAGATGCGATACCAGAGAGACATATATGAATATATTAAATTTTGAGGTTAATCAGCAGATATGAGCGAACATAATATGTGATATCTTCATTTAACGTGACCAGTCATGAACGAGAGTGACCCAGCAAGCGCCGTGCCTGTTCTATTACTTTAATGGCACAGCGCGTCCAGCACACATGAACCAAAGTGTATAATCAATCTATCTTGCAAAGTGTGGTGGGATATAAGCGCGAAAACAACCTCGGTGTCCAATGCAGAGGGAAGCGGATCTATTTCTTAGGAGGCGCAGGGGGCCACCACGCGCCATCGCTCAGCCAGACTCCTGTCGGACTGTAGGATCCAGCCTCGGACCCTCTCAAAAACGCGAATCGGAAAAATAGGTCTTCGGGTTCATCATCAGGGTCACTATCAGCCAAAAGAACCGATCTAGGTTCAATGTTAGTGTCCAAATCACGATTGATTAGACGAGGATTTGTTTGTAGCTCCAGGCCATCATGGCCATGGCGATGCCAGGTGAATTCCCCGCGCTTGTCTTCGTCGAGATAGCCGCGCCAGCGCTCTACATCATTGAGAAGAAGGGAGACGCCGTCGACCGCTAGGTCGGCCATGCGATCATGTTCCCACAGAGAGAATGTGATGTTACCATTGCCGCGATAAGTGTGGTTCGAATCCAACTCTGGAAGGGAGACATTCACGGATGTGGCCGTGATATTAGGATAGGTAGCACCCCACCAGCCATGGATTCCATCTCCAAGTGGCGCTTGCTCTCCTAGGGCTGCCGGAGTCTCGATGATTGAGGCGAAGCCCCACCGCGCAACTCCATTGATGAAAAGACCCAGCAGCAGACCCTGGTAGACGAGCGAGGGCCGAGTGGGAAAGGCGGTGCCGGGCATGAGGAGAATGGCGAGGATATAATGGTGAATTCGAAGGCGAAGCCCAGGAAGGGGAAGCAAAATCAAGATGATGACACCCATGGTACCGTATATCTTCAAATACCGAGGGAGCAGACCTCCCTGGCGAATTTGCCACGCCTGGCTTAGGATAATCGAAATCACAATTGGGATGACGAGAGCCAATGCCAACTTTGCCCCGGGTTGTTTCTGAATGTCCATCGGAGTTAGACGCTGCAATGGAATCAATCGCGCAAAGGTATAGTTGTTCAGGGCTCCAGTGAACAGTGGAGGTAGGAAAAGGAACAACTTTGACAACTGGTAGATAGGCGAGGATATCGGCTGCAACAGCGGCGCAGCACAGAACTTGTAAAGTACGTAGACAACAAACGACGCTGGCAGCAGTCGTGACAGAAGACTGGAGACAAGGTCGGCCAAGAAAGGATACGAGGGCGGATCTCCAACAAGTCCCGTATGGCAGAACACCATGAAGAATGTACTGAAAAACAGCACAGGCGGTGAAGTACAGAAGAGCCACAGGATGCCAACTGCTGCAGCAGTGATTCCAAGAAGCGTCCAGCGTGGATCGGGGGGCAGCTAGCTTGCGGCGAGGATAGCTGGAGAAAGCTGAAAGCCTTCGGGAATGTCGATGGGAACCCGGCAGAGAGAATGCCGTGTTGCTTGACTGATGGGAAAGAGTGCGCTGCGCCTTCAAGCTTGACAACACCGCATCCGCCATCGTTGGAGATTGCACCGACATGGATTGCTGCCTGGCAGATAAAGCTATCCGCACGGTAAAGTGCAGGGTCGGAGCCATCCGGCCCAGGCCCTCCAATGACTAGGCCTTGGTAGTTGTATGTATTATTTCCCACAACGTAAGGCTCCAGTAATTTGGTATCACGGCAGTTCGCAGGACACCGGAAGGGAATAGTTGATGAAGAAAATGGACGGCAGTCGTTTCCGTTAATACCAC